ATCCGAACCCGCGGCAGGAGCGTCGCTGCGCTCCCAGTGCCGCACTCTCCCGAGTGCGCCAAAGGGCCGGTCCCTGAGCATCCTTTTAAAGTTTTTCCTATTCTGTGCCAGACAGCTTGGTTGGGTTAATTTTTACTTGACATTTGTGGAACCATTCTGAGATGAGAGATGCTGCAATATGCTATCCCACTGAATGAACAGTACAGAGCATGTAATATTTAATACAATGGTGCATGAAATGCCAGAGCAACTTTTCTTCCTTCTATTTGCAAGAATGCTTTTCAAAATCTCTTTTTGATGTGGCATCTGCAAATGCTCAGCTCTAAGGCAGACCATTAAACACATCTGCCTTATGGACCCAACTCCTTCCATAAAATGACCTCTAGAAGTCCCCCAAAATGTTCCACTCTGATCATCACTGTGGGGAATACAAATGATGATTCAAGTGCAAAGGTGGCAATGTAAAGCCTAAGGCCTTCTTCCAGATTCTGTGACCATTCAGGTCACAGAACTGCAGGAACACAATGACTATAGATGTATTTACCAGAAGGGTAATATACATCAAGGCTTCCATTCTGTCATTTAGGACTATCACATGTCATCTCCCATCTCCAAGGCCACTAAGATTACAGAAGTTTTATGAACGTGTACCTCAAAATCTTTCTTAAGCAGTGTTTTATTGGAAAGCTATCTAATTATGATGAAAAGAAGGCAAAATTGAGGCTGTGACTAATTTCAGCACTTTTACTCCTACTTATCAACAATCCTTCAGATGCAGTCAAGTTCCCCAAAGAATCAAGATATAGCCAAGTGACAGGAGAGTTTCAATGGCCTAGGTCTAAATGAATAGGCCTCAAACTTCAGCATGGATTAGAATCACCTGAAAGACTTTTTAAAACATGGATTGCCAGGCCCCACCCTGGGGTTTCTAATTCTGCAAGTCTGAAATTGGGTCTGATAGTCTGCATTTCTAATAAGTTTCCAGGTGATGAAGATGCTGGTGTTGTTGGACCAGTTTGAGAACCACTGATTTAGACTTAGAGATGTAGGGAAGGTATTTATTCCCTCTAAACCTCACTCTACTCACTGTAAAAGGGCAGTATTTGTAAGAATAAATGAAATGTTTATCAACAGTGTAGTGTAATAGTTACACTGGGAGCTCTATAATTGGTAGCTATTATTGTAATAACTCAAATTCAATTTTAGAATTAAAAAAAAAGCAAGCTAATTTGCCTATAAATGGCATATAAATTGCACATACACTCATACCTACATACCCACCTTCCCTCATTTCAGACAAGATATCAGTTCCACTTATAAAGGTTGTAACTTCAAAGAGAAGCCATTATCTCAGAAGAAATGTGCATCAGGACTCTATGGATTCTGAATAGCTATTGTGTAAGCACTTCTCATGAAACTGTTTGTTTGTACAGAGCTTGTGTCTGTGCATGGAGGGGAGGGAGGGTGGGTTGTTTAGGAAAACTATCTCCTCACATTAAAAAGCAGCAGGAAACTAGAGATTAAATCAAAGATATGATTTAAATCATGAAAATCTTCTTTGAAATAAGCATGAACATCAGGATGGAAATGTAAAATTTACAGCTTCCTTTTCCTTTCCATTGAAAATAGTGCTGAATGGGAAGAGAGGAAAGGAGAAGCTGAGATTGGCTACTGTTATTTCAGTCACAAAGCAGCATTTGTCCTTCAAAGTCTCTTTTCAAAAGTCAACTTCTCGGGGGTCCATCTCCAAATCAAGTAAAGATACCAGCTTGAGGAGAAAAGGAGGCAGAACTGGGGTGAGGACAGGGCAGAAAGGGTATATCCTCAATATGGCCTCTACCCCAGGGGTCAAAGCCCTTCTTACCACTTGCTAGTGTCCTGTAAGCAGCTGGTTTCTATTCTACCCCAGCTCCAGCTGTGGGCTAAATGGAATTAGCATCACCCCTCCGCCCCCCCAAATAGCCCCAACAAAGCAATAGCAGCATGCAACATGTGGACTACACCCTGCGCCGAGTGCTGAGTCCCCTATCTTCTTCATTTCCAATAGCTGGAGAAGTCTTTCTCCTCATATGAAATCTCCTTACTAAGAAGTTAGTCTAAGGAGAAGTTTGGGGCTTGGGATTTGAGCTTTCTAAACTTTCCATTTCTGATTTGGGACAAATAAATCCCATCTTCTGGCTGACTATCAACTTCATACGTCACGATGATAACGAAAATGATAAAATTATAAACAATAATAGACACTAACCTCTACTGAG